CAGAATTCCCCAGCCAGGCTGGCTGGGGACTTCTGGGAGTTGGAGTCCACTCATCTTAAAGTGGCCAAGTTTGGACAACGCTGCCCTAGAATGTCCTGTCCAAATACAAACCCTGCTGAGGTTTTCAAGTTCAGTCAAGTTCAGATAGATGCTACTGTTTGCCATCAGAGGACTGTAGGTTCTCTGGACTTACTCAGAGTACTATGAAGCTAACCACTTTTACAGTGCAATGCTAAGGTACAGCCAAAGAGCATTAAGCTGGAACCAGTCAAAGCAAACACCGATAAGTTCGCTTTCAATGATGTAATACATAAATCAAGCAGGAGAGGGCTAAGATGGAGCTGTTCCAAACCAGAAGCAGACAGTCTAATATGCTACAAGGTACACCTGAGAAGTGCATCTATTCATAGAACAAAGGCATTCATTTCATTTCTTTTATATACAGCCAATAATACATTTTTTTCTTATCTTACTTATTTCTTAGGTTTGCTGAGTTTTTGTTTACTGAAGAATTTAAGGCTGGTTCCAGGGCATTGGAAAATGTTTACAGTCTGTTTGAAGGTTTCTCAGGGACAGTGTGTTTCCTGGTTGATTTGCTGCAGCCTAACCAGGCTGAGTTCCCTCTCTTCAGCATCTTTGTGTAACAAGTTCCAGGGCTGTGCCAGGACAGTCATTCTAGAGGCACAAATGCAATTTACGACAAAGGAAAGATTTTCATTTGTTTTGTTTTTTAAGAATTACATCCATTTCAGTATTCCTCTACAGTAATAAGATAGCCTTAATGTTGCAGTAGGTAAAGAGAGAAAAGGAAGGGAATGTTTTTTATATGTATATGCATATATATGGGACAGGGAGCATGCAATTTCTAATAATAGATAGCCATTTTAAACCAGACTGTTTTTCCAGAGTTGAAAATAAATGGAAATGCTGATTGAAGTTAATTTAAAATGTCTGTCATATAATGATGGGCTTCTTGAAGACACATAATGAAAACCTGAATTTTAGAAATCTGTAAATGGAGAACATATATTATTCATTTTTTTTAGTAAAAATGATGTACAAGTGTACCATGTTATGTACAAGGATACCCCATTTCTTTTGGGGAAAATAGGTATTAGAAATTTGGAATATGAAACATCTTATATAGTCTTTCTGTGTGTATTACCCTATTTATTTGATGCACCAAACAGCAGCATTTTTAATGGTCGCATATGCATATAATCACTTCGTATAAATACAGTAAAGCCTTTTTTGCATCACAGTCCTCAAGATGTGAAATGGTTGCCCTTGAAAAGATGCAAGCAATATATACTAACCAAATTCTTCTTACTGGACCCTCTGAATGTTCTGTCTTTATTTGGAGATCCAGGAAGCAGAGTTTCTGACATGGAATAGATGTCAGAAGTGGCTGATAGATGCTAAAAGAATTCCCAAGATCAAGTGATGCATGTATGAATGCTTTGGAGTGCCCAGAGAAATAACCTGATCATGGGAAAGGATGCTCCTTGATCTATGAATTCATTCTTAGACAGTTTAACTGAATCTAAATGAGTGTTCCCACAAACCCAATGCCCTGCCAGCAACAGGCTGGTAGAGGAGAAGGGCAGGAAGGAGCAGTGATTGCTATCTTTTCTACTATTTCACCACAATTCAAACAGACACTAAATGAGCTGGCAGGTGATCTAGCAGTAACATGAAGGCTCAACTATGTTGAGTGAGATACTGGAAGCAACACTTGTAACCAAGACAAGAACTATGACTATTATAGTTTACATTTGGGCTTGAGCTTCAGTGTAATTAGACTGGATCTTAACTCCTACTATTATACTCTCATCTTCTTTTCTTCTTTCATGTTGAAATACATTTTTTTACTTTAGCTCTCCTTTAAATAAAGCACTTCTTAAAGCATTATAAAAGAGAAGGTTTGGAAGGAGAAAAAGGTTGATGGGAAAGGCCTGCACAAGGTGCCACTGCATTTAGTTGTTCATGAGATCAAGAAGCTACTCAAATCTTTCAGTCAGGATTTGTGGTAGAGGGGGAAGGATGATAGCAGTTTTCCTGTCTCTACACCATACTTTCTATTTGATATCTGAAGGGGCTAAAACTTCTTGATGAACAACTGTGAAAATGAGGTGAAATAGGAACTAACTACAATCGCATGCTTGTTAAACCATTAAGATCTTTCCCTATGCTACTTCACACCAAGCATCAATGGATCCTGACAGAAGTTAGCATAATTTTCATCCTGCCCCTTTGCTAGATGTGTTTAGAAAATACATTGTGATAATCAAGGTGGAGAACAGAGAGATCTTTGAGTTCTGGAGCTTATATAACACGGTCGGCTAGTAAGCAAGAGTATTGCACAGACCCTCATTTCCTACATTGCCTTAGTGGGTTTCATAAAGGGATTAATTCTGCTGATGGTAGCCCCAGATTTCTGCTCCAAAAGTGAGGAAATGATGCTGGATTGTGTTTTATGCCAATCTCTTTGTACAATCGCTGTACGAACACTAGGAAGACTCTTACCTAATGGGAACTATTCTGCCTCTGTTGAAATCAGTAGCCAAATTCAGTGTTGAATTTGTTAAAGCAACATATTTTCATAAATAATGTATTAACTTTATGCCTTCATAACAGTTTACTGAATATTGAAATACAGTACTGAAGTTAAGCTTAGATAGCAATATTAGTTAAGCTTAGATAGCAATATTAGACCTACAAAAGCTTGTTTGAATGGCTACAATGCAAACTATCACTGATGCGTGAAATTGCCATCCTATTCTCTGGGAGCTCCTAACAATTAATAAAATATGCTTACGCATGTTTGGAATTACTCCCTTTATAGAGGAAAATAGAAATACACAGAATTCTAAATTGTGGCATATGGTTCAGTTGTCCTGTACTTGACTTATCTCCAGTCCTTAGAACATACTAACTTTAGGGAAAAAAAGTATTTCCAAAACTAGAAGGAAATGTGAGATCTTGCTGCCCTTATAAAGTAAGCTAGAGATATATAATAAATAGTATTATTATGGAACCATTACTATTTTAAAAAAAACTTTTCTTTGAACCACAGAATGGACAAAAAACATATTGGTTAGAAGTTTTGCAATTTCTCATCATTTTATATATATGTACAGAGAGAGAGATTTATGTCACAATGGAAGGTCAATACATGTGATTTGAATGATGAGTTTTATGTTCTTATTTTCTTAAATTTTGAAATTATAAGTGTATTCAAATGTTAAGCAAATCCAAAGCTGAGAATTTGCTTGTTGAAAGAACCTACTGCTGAACAGACAAGTGACTTTTTAAATTAAATAATAGGATAGTCTTGCTTTCCTATCCTATTTTAAACTAAATAATAGGATAGTCATAATATTTCATACTTTGGTAGTATGAAATATGGTGCAAATTTGAAAGTGAAATCCAGCTTTTTGTGATTCTGTCTACCCTGTATATTCATATAATTTCTTTGCCTTCTAATTTTAAACATAATTGCCATATTTAATGTCAGAATTATTCTACTTTTTCTGTAGCAACTTCTTATGTTTGAAAAACCTGTTCATTTTGGCTGGAAGATTTCAAGAGAGGTAATTTCAGGAGAAATTGCTTTGTATCCAGTAGTTTTTCTTAGAATTCTGCTCTGAGTGGCAGCAGATCCACAGAGTCTCAGGCAAGACTCAGGCACATCTGTTTGAAGATGTCAAGAAGTCAACCTGGAAAACGGTTAGGAAATGTCTTGATCCTAATGCAAGCAAGAAAATTCATACTGTATAGGAAATCCTGAAGTCCTGATTCCCCCTATTTCAAACTGTTCTCCCATTAAAATACACAGAGTATCAGATTATTAAACTACAGCATTTGAAATACTAATTGTGGCAGCTATGTTTCACTTCTCTGTGAAGCATTCCCACATCACAGGGAATATGTGTGAAAGTTACAGTATGGACCTAAAGAAATAAAAATAATCTTCAAAGTAAATATACAGGTTAATTTATCGAAGTCACAGCTTAACTTCACATTTCCTATGGCAGATACTGGTGGTTAGAATGCCAATCATGTATTTAGATAATGCCTACAGAAGTATAATCTTATCCATGAACTCTCTTGTTGACTTCTAGCAAACCATAATCCATCATCAGAAGTTGCTTATAGATATCTAGGATCATGCAGATCATCTACTATACAGATTATTATGACAAAGAAAAGTATAAAAAAAAACTCCACTCATAAACCTTTGAATAGGATACTATATAAAACTGATAGCATACTTCTATATACCTATATGTTCAAAGGCAAGCCTTACTGAATTGCATAGATTTACTTGTAAATTGTTTTGGTATTACAGTACATTGCTTGAGAATGTTTTCCATTATATTATGCTAATCATTTCCTTACATGTTACTGCTATACCTACCTAAAATTTTGTCTGACACCTACTTGAAGAACCCCTAGGGTTTGCTATCTTTGCTATACATTGTATACCTATTTGTGATATGTGTGGCTTGTAAACTAGTGTGTAAGACATTAGATTTCATCCAAAGGGGGCCCAGTGACTGATGAGCTACCATCTTCAGAACACAGTTAGTGAGGTGGATATAATATTGTGTATATTATCATCATCATCATCATCATCGAAGCTATTATAGTAATAGATTTGTACTTTTAGCAAAACTTATTGCTTTTGCTATAAAACTGTCATGTTTAGGAATCCTATGAGCTTAGTTTTGTTTCCCTATATCCTCACTGTTTTTAACTCTGCTACAAATATTTTGTGGAAGCTGGCTAAGCAGGTGACTCTAAAATTCTTTTTACATGTTAATGTTGTGCATATAACATATTAAAAAAAAAAATTCCACCCACTTCCACCATATTATTTCAAGCTTGTGTATTCATGCTTGTATTTCTTTCAAAGCAAATAACTATTACTATACTATACTATACTATGCTGTATTATATTCAAAATTATTGAAAGAGCAGAAAAATACATCCACAAGGAATCCATCTAGTTCAGCTGCATCTCCTATTAAATAAGACAATCCCAAGTGGCCAAGCAAATGAGATAAAAATCTACATGTAAAGTTATAATTGAACATGAATTTAAAATAATTTGTGCTGCAACGAAGATTTTGCACATGCACTTATCTTTTTATAAATGGTGCTTAGATCCACATGTTAAAGTTCATAATTTTTTAATATAAGTAGTTGCCTTATCCCAGAATACACAACAGTGCATGTACTTCCTGGTTTCTTGACAAAGGAAGGTTGGCAAATATTAGTGACAGGTTCTATTAGACTTTAAAAGTTACCATTTATGTAAAGAATCATAGAAAAGAATATTCATGTTTACCTATAATACTATAGCAGAAAATCATTGCTAGAGTAGGAATATGCTACATTCTGATCTTAAGGCTAATTAAGCCAAAAAAACCAAAGTGCTTATATCAACTCCTGCCTCAGTCCAGTATCAGAAATCACAGTACAAATCTACTTTTCCAAGATGGTAATGGTTAAACTATAATATAAAGCTAAAATTAAGAAATGGACTACGCAATCCTATGCACGTGCGCTCAAAAAGAAATTATTCTCTCACAGATTCCATTCCCAAAGTATAACCCTTAACATATTTATTCAAAGTAAA